GAGGGTTAAAGTCGGCTTGTTTAGAATTATAATTTCTCACCACCTCTCCTCGATGCACCGCAATCTTAAGACGTTTCAAAAAGAAATTCAATAAGATCATGCATAATTTAACGAGTAAGGCAGCTTGGACATTGTGCAGGTGCCAGCTCCTTGCACTGGAGCTAACATCTATCCTAGTTCAATCCCCTCCCCTGTTTTCCTTGTGCCATATAAACATTATTTTCTCCAAGTGTTTATCTGATCTCTCCTCCACCCCCCAAACTCTTCAATGTCATAACTGACTCAGCTCAATGGCCACTCGTTATAGTGCATCACTATACTAATAATCATTTGCATTACACACGTTTCTAACCTTTGATTTAACTTTCTGGTACTGATCTTATTGTTTTGTTTCTTGCTTTTGATTCGTTGACCGGCAAAAATAATCCATAATTATGTGTCCTTTAAACAATTCGGTTAGATTCTCCTGAACTTTCTCTGCTGCAGCAAACACAAATTCCGGTTTTCATGTCTCTCGTGACAACTATAATCTGTCATCCTATTACCCTAGTAAATTTACAACATGGTGCCTAAGACATAACACAATATCCCACTGTGGTCCTTCCAAAGCGTGGTGCAGAAATAAAATACCTCTATATACAACTAAGTATGTCGTTTATATTTTTGATAGTGATTTTTCCAGCTGCAATACTGCTGTTAAAGAATTTGAGTATCAGCACTTTTAGTTCAACTACTTTTACCCTTCCAGACCATTGAGAAATGTATATTTCAATTTTTGGGTCATTTAACAGGCTGTCTAGAAAAAATGATGCAGTATCTCTTGGCTGTCAACTGCTTTTACTTTTAAACAGGCTGTTAAGGGAAACTCCTCATATAAAAATCAAAAATTTTGGAAATACTCAGCAGGTCAGACAGCATCTGTAGGGAGAAACAGAATGTTTTTGTATGGCCTTGTGAAAGCTCAAAGTGCTTCACAGCATTAAAGTATTTTTGACATAGTTGTTGCTGCAAACAGCCAAATTTCACAAACTAAACAAAATAAGCAATAACAGAATTTGTTTAAACAATTTTTCTCATGGATAAATATTAGCCAGAAAATCTATTCTTCCTGTTTATTGAAATCCTGTTGTTTCTGGTGAAGATAAATCTGCATTTGCCTGCTTCCAATTTGACATTTGGAAGCTTTGCCACAGTGTCATCTCCAGTATCCTCACTGAAACAAGTAAAAAAGAGCTGCTCCATTGAACAATTGGGCAATATATATGTTCATATTGCTGATTTCTACCCATTGCCTCTGCATTGTTGTTCTTCATAAAACTACAAGTGCTGAAAGTAAGTATACTCCAATGTTGCTTTATTTTGATTTATAGAGGCTTTTTAAAAATTTCATTGCCTATTCCGAGTTGCCCTTGATGGTGGTGATGAGTTGAATGGGATGATCCTATTAGTTTATTTGTAGTCTGGTACTCCTCTCACGTAACACTTCCTTTACCATCCCCACCCTCCACCCTGCTCCCTACCCCTCCACACTCTCAGGCTATACCCAGTCCTGCTTGCTTTTTTTGGATAATCCCATAATTCTGTCAAACTCAAGACTTCCAAGGTTTGACACCATTTTAAAACAGTCTGCAAACAAAATTATTTCCACATCATAAACTCACATTGGAGATATAGTTCTTAAAGCTAAAGCAAACAAACAATATGGGGTGAAAGCAGAAACAATTTAATGAGTAGGATGATCAGCTATGTTGACATTGAATGAAGGAGCAGGCTTGTAGGGCGGCCAAATGGCTTACTCCTATTCCTATTTTCTATGTTGTTATTTTTCTATAGTTTTTGTGCACAAATTCTTTTTAAAAGTGTGCACTCACAATAGGCTGCATTCTCTTGATTTGGCTGTTATGCAGCTAGTTAATTTGAAAAGTTTTGTTGAAAGATCCATCTTGATTTCCAGTATCCCATTTTCTGATTGTCCCAGCTGCTGAGGTATCAAATCTAAGACCACTGATGCCATCACATCTACACATGCAAGGGGTTTCTAGATAGGAATTCCCTGCTTTAAATGTGGAATTTGTCCTACAGCTTGTTTTTGTTTTCTTTTACCTATATAAAATAATTTAATCCATGTTACGGCTCTACAGCCCTGAAGATGACTAATTTTGGGGTGCAATCCCTGGGACCGACAATTAAACCACATTGCCAATTAAAAAATTTATCTGAGTATTTATTCTACATGTGTGAGCTGAGAACAAAATTGTGTTTGCAACCTTTTTGAATATGGTGGCATCTTAGCCAAGCCTAAATAATCCTGTTCTTGCCAAACATCAATAAATGGTGTACTTTGAGTAGCATTTAATGGATAGCAATCACAACAGGAACCCAAGTTGATTTCCTTCTTCCAGGAATGCTGAGACAAGTTGCATATTGTCTGCATTGCTACTTGGGCTGAAATAGGCTAACTCAGCATAGAATACAGATTGAATTTGGGAAGATCTAATTTAGTATTGCAGATATACAGCTTATCATCAAATTCATGAGTGGCAGGAGACACGCACTCAAAAACAGAAATAAAAAGTTTAGCTGTCTCCTTCCAACTATATGGATGGCTAGGTCCTATTACTTGGGACATTAAATGGTTAAAAAATAGCAAAGCTGTCAATCCTGAATAATTAAAATGGTCATAAATGGGACTGTTAGATTTTTTGGCTAATGGTACCAAGGGACATGGAGCAAAGATACATTGGATGGAATTGAAGTATAGATCAACCATGATCTACATGAATAGGGGGCTGACCTGAAGAGGTGAACACACTTCTTCAGTTCTCAAGATTTTACATTGTTGTACATGCTTTCAAAAATATTCCCATCTCACTTTGATAATGTGCTTTGGTATGGCAGAAAATATTCAAAAGTGCTTAACAGACATGTAAAACGAAGGAATGCCAAACTAAAGGATGGATGACCAAAGCTTCATTAAGAAGTTAAAAGAGGGAGGTATACAGGCCTATGTTTTAGAGGGGGAATTACAAACAGTAAGACTTAAGCAGTTGAATGCTTAAAAACAATAAATGCAAGGCATGTGCAATAGCTCAAAATCAGATATATAAAGAAAATGGGGGTAAAGATGGTAGTGGGGATATTGAAATATGGAGGAAGAACAAAAAGAAGGTATTTAAACACAAGGATACAAATTTAATTCTGGGACACTGAGAGCCAGTGAAATTCTTTGAGGTGAGATGTGATGGGCAAGCAGAATTTGGTGTGATATGGGATATTTGTCAGAGCAGCACTTCAAACTCAGAGGTGATAGAGTCCTGAATAAGAATTTCAGTGGCAGATGGGCTGAAAATGTAAAACTAAAGGACTAGGAGCAGACATTTAGCCAGTTTAAAACGTTTTCATTTTTTTCTTCATGCTCAATCTGCTTTAACTGTAACGGATTATCAACTGACTCCAACTTTTCACTACTCAGAGTACCTGGTCTCTCTTGTATTTTGACTAAACCCAAATGCTGTGCTAATACTTCAAATATATTTGCCTTCTTAGCTTTAGCAGGCAAAGCCAATATTCAAGTAACCTGACTTTCAGAAATTCACTTAAGACCATTAGGGACAACCTGCAGGAAATTCTTTGCAATTTCCAGTGCCATCCTTTTTCTGTATTTGCAGTAAAGCTAATGTTTTCTCTCCCGTTTTCACTTACAGATACCACACCCAAATCCTTGTTGTTGCTGTTTCAAAATAATCCAGTCATGAGCCCCAATCTCATGTTATGACTCATTTGGGAAAGTGCTCTGATTATCAAGACCCACCACTCCCATGGTCACCACAGAAGTTAATTATTTAATCAAAGCATGCAAAGTCTCTGATTTACCTGCCTATTGAAATCAAGTTAACAGAGCGAAAAAGAACTGACCAGTTACTGAATTTGAGAAGAATTACTATTATTATAAGTAAACTCTAATTATAACTAAATAGCTTCAGACAATCAACATATGGCTGTAACAAGTTAAAACTCTGACACCTTTTTAAAATCCCATAAACACTTATACATACAGACACAAACACACAGACAAACACAAAAGACATTGGTTTCATGGAAGGGGGGAAAATAACTGGGAAACATGGTTCAATAACACCAGACCATTTTTTTTTTGAGATGTTACTTGTTGCTTGCTAGGACTTTCTGTTCTTCAAACTCCTTTCTGCAGGACCACCATAACTAGTGAAAGGAAACAACTAACAACAACTAATAAGAGCAAATGACTGGTTTTCTTCAGGCTTCAGGTTATTTTAACTGCAGAGAGATACACACACAGCCTCTACTTCTCCAGTCCAAAGGCTTCTCTCTATATTGTTCACGCCAAAAGCTATTCAGCTATCAGGAACCAGACAGTTGTAGCCTTGCTGAAGATCTTTGGCATTCACGACTGATCATAACTGCACAAACTAATCAGCTACTGTTTGCTGGCCAAATCTCACTCTGCACACACCCCAGTATCATTCTGTCTACAAACATCTTCCCCCACTACTTGAACAAAGCAGCAGTGTAAACATCACATACAACAAGTTTCAGTAATTTGTTTTAAAAGTGTAGCAATTCCTTCCACGGTTCTCTGTTTTAAAACAGTCTTTTCCCCATCTTAGTCCACTATCAAAAATACAGAAAGTAAGATGATTCAGTCTTTACACCCTTTAGTATCCAATTTATAGGCCCAGGACATGGAGTGATTGGTGAGCAAGGGTGAGCAATTCTACTTTCTAATCTCCAGTCATAGTAAATAGTCCAAATGTAGGCTTAAGGTAAGACAGAACAGCTCAGCCACTGAGAATACCCAAGATGTGATGTGTAGGGAGCCACAAAAAATTCACATAATCTAGGTGAGCACATATACAGGAAATGGTTATACAGGCTGCAGAAACCTCAGCTCCAAGTTTCAGTTCTGAGGAAGGATCACCGGACCTGAAATGTTAACTCTGATTTTTTCTTCACAGGTGCTGCCAGACCTGCAGAACTTCCAGCAACTTCTGTTTTTGTTCCAGTTTCAGAGATTGAGCAGTGGCAGGAGTCGCTGCAGGGCAACCTCAAAGTAAAGAGCCCTGTGGATAGCACATTTAGAGAGGTGGTCACACCATAGGATAGGTATGAAGGAAGATATAGCATGGGTGACTGTCAGACAGTCAAAAAAACTTGGGTGACTATCTGTATGTAGAGTTTGCACATTCTCCCTGTGTCTGCATGAGTTTCCTCTGGGTGCTCCAGTTTCCTCCCACAGTCCAAAGAAATGCAGGGTTACCGGGATAGGGTGGGTGGGATGGGTCTAGGTGGGATACTCTTCAGAGGGTCGCTGTGGGCCTGATGAGCCAAATGGCCTGCTTCCACACTATAAGGATTCTATGATTCTATAACCTGGCAGATAGTCAAAGATGCCCTGAGACAATTTTTTTCTTGCTAATTGGTTTTTTTGTTTTGGATTCTGGTGAGAGCAACGATTTCTCAGCGAAGTGTAGCAGGAGGCAAGCCTGTGTCACTGCAGGTGGTTCAGCTGTAAAGAAGGGGTAACGAAGAGCAGAAGACCAGTAATGATAGGCGATTTGTTAATTGAGATAACAGATAGGTTTTTAGAGCACAGATGTGACTCCAAGATGGTATGTACCCTCTCTAGTACAGACCATTCTTCTGAGTGCAGGTGATCAGCCAGACGTCATGGTAAATGCTGGTACCAACAACAGAGGTAGGAAGGAGGATTTTGCAGTCAAAGTTTAGGGCGTCTGGAAGAAAATTAACAAGCAGGACATCAAAAGGAGTTAACCCTTGATAATCCCCAACACCACATGCAGGTGAGTACAAAAATAGAAAAATAAGACAGATGAATGTGTGACTGGAAAGATGGTACAGGAGGGAGGGATTCAGATTCCTGGGACTGACTCTAGGGGAGATGGCATTCGTACAAGCCAGACAAGCTGCACCTGGATAGAGCAGGTACTGAGGAGCATTTTGCTAGTGCTGCTGGGGAAGGTGTAAAGTAACGGCTGTGTTTAGTGTGAGGTGCAGTGCCCACACATGTGCAGGAACACAGGTTTGCAGTGCCACATTACTGCAAAGTAACAAAACAAAAGCTGCAAGGAGTCTTTAAAATTATTTTCAGCTTTCAGGGCTAACATAACCAGTTTCCAGAGCTGCTGGCTCCGTTGCTCCCTCTGTCTGGCTAAAATCTCACCGATTGTGCATCTGACAAATTAATGAATGTCCAATGCTAGTGCTCACATCACTACACATGGAACATGCAACATCAACAATGCATCTATAAACACTTCCTGCAGCCTGCCATGATGATCTGAAGGCATGGCCCACTTCTGCAGTGCTTCACAGAAGGCTCCACAGCACTGAGGATGTCACCCAGTAAGGGGATGAAATGTCTGCTATCAAACACCCCCAGCTTGGCGGATACACTAAAATCTACAATGGTAGGATGTGCAAAATACTGGGACAAACATTTAGAATGGAGAATAGTTGGTTAATAGGTGAATTTAGAATATGGGAGAAATTAAAGCATTCTAAAGCGGGGTTACAGTGCTTATACTTGAGTGTATGGAGAATGGTAATTAGGACTGATGAATTACAAGCACAGATTGCCATGTGGAATTATGATGTTATGGTTATAATAGAAATCTGGATCAAGGACGAGCAGAACTGGGTGTTAAATATTCCTATGCAAGATATTGGAAAGTTAGGAAAGGAAGAAAAGGAGAGAGGTGATGGCATTGAAGTGCTGAAGAAAGACAATGTGCCAAAGGGTTCAAGGACAGAATGGACTTTGCTAGAGCTAAAGAACAATAAGCCATAAGCCTGTGGGTAGGACGTAGATGAGCAAATCTACAAGGAAATTACAGAGATACAAATATTCTAGATCAATAGACTGCAATGTAGACTAGGATTCTGGTAGTGTAAAGAGTAAACAGGGCAGACATTCCTCAACTGCATTCAGGAGAATTTCCTAAAGCAGTATGTATGAGAGAGGAGGCACACCTTGACCCAGTTCCTGGGAATTAGGTGAACCAATTAAAGTGTCAATGGGGGAAATCTGAAGTGACAGTGGTCATTGTATCACAAAGTTTCGGATGATGATGGAAAGGAGAATAAGCAACACAGAGTAAGAATAATTAACTGGGGAAAACTTCAAAGGGGTTGAGAACTGAGCTGGGTTGAAAAGACTGGAACCAAAGGTTGAAAAGAAAATCTGTAGCTGAACAATGGGATACCTTCAAAGGGAAGATGGTTTGCACAAAGTCAAGGTATATCCCTGTTGAAGGCAAAGTAAGGCAAACAAATCCAGAGCTCCCTGGGTGAAAATAGGAGATATAAATTAAGATAAAACAAAGTTTTTTTTAACAGGTGTCAGGCAGAAAATACAATTGAGGACCAAGCTGAATACAGAAGCTTCAGAAGGAAGATGAAAAAGCAAATGAGAGAAGCAAAGATGCATTGTGAAAAAGGATTTGCAGCCAACATAAAGCAGAGTCCAAATGTTTTCTATTGGCAGATACACAGTAACAGGGTTGTAAAAGGAAGAGTAGTCAATTTGGAGCCATAAAAGGGATTTACATATGGAAGCAGGTGACACGACAGATGTATTCATTGAATATTTTACATCTGTATTTATTGAGAAAACAAATGCTGCCCAGGCCATGGTCACAGCAGAGGAAATTCTGTCAGTAAAAATGTTCAAAATTGATAAGGAGGAGATTATTGGATAAGTTGTCAGTACGTCAACTTGACAAAGCACCGAGAAGCATCCAAAGATATTTAAGGAAATGGGAGAGGAAATTGCAGAGATACTGGCTATAATCTTTCAGGAATGGTGCCGGAGGAGTGGAGAATTGCAAATAACATTTCTTCTAATCATATTTCTGCTGGACCTCCAAGGTACATGAGCCCACTAGCTGGCATGTACAGAAAGCTGTGCAGCTTGGAGGCCTGAATCTTACCAGATATTGGCTAAGTGTCATTTTGGGTGAGTATCTTCTCCTCAAGCCCTAGTGAATTTCCATGCCAAATATACATCATGCCCCAGAGGCATCCTGCTGGTCCTGTTCTCCCATTATGTGCAGGCTGATGTATGACTACTGCTGGGAGTCTTGGCACTGGCAACATTTTAAAGCCCAACCAAGTAGCCAGACAAGCGCTGACAATCTGCAGCTTCCCTGCACTGTTTGTTTTATTTGCCCTGGACATGTTGATATACAGGGTAACTGGCACTCTGCTTCATTGATGGGAACTTGGAGGTCCTTTTGGAGGGAAGTGATTGTGGTCACTGCCAATGGATTGTGCCAAAAAATGTTGGTGATCAATAGGGAGCCAGAGAAGTAAGTGGCAGACTAGAATCGCCAGGTGATTGCTCTGATTTTTATGTCGGGAATTGCTGGCATCTAGCTTCTATCTGGTCATGTGAGAATGGGAAACTGCACATCTGTGAAGCAAGATGACATAATAGTGAGATGTTAATACATGTTGATGCATGTAAACAGGCCTCTGGCCTTGTTTGGAAAGTGGAATGTTTTACTTTGGGAAAGTTCATCACTGCCAGTCTCACCCAATTCTCCCAACTTTCTCACAACGTCCACATTCTTCAGGGGCTGGAATGATTTCACTTTAAGTCCTTGTTTAAAAAAAAAGGATGTAAGGACAAGTCCAGCAATTAAAGACCAGTTAGTTTAACTTCATTGCTTGGGAAACTTTTAGAAACAATCATTCGAGATAGAATTATTAGCCATATGGACAAAGATGATTTTATTAAGAACAGCCAGCATGGATTCCTTTAGGGAATATCGTGTTTAACCAACTTGCTTGAGTTCTTTGAAGAGGTAATGGAGAAAGTTGATGAACATAATGCTGTTGACGTGGTGCATTGGTGTCCCAAAAAGGTGTTTGAAATATCTGAACAATAGATTTATGAGGAAAGTTAAAGCTCATTGAACAAAAAGGATAGTAGCAACATGTGTAAAAAATTGGCTGAGTTACAGGAAACAGAGAGTAATAATCAATGGATAGTTTTGGGCTGAGGAAGGCTTGTAGTGGAGTTCGACCAGAGATCAGTATTGGGGCCTATTTTTTCCCTGATATACATTTACGATCTCTACCTTGGTACATAAGAGCAATTTTAAAGTTTGCAGCGGAAACAAAACTTTTAAGCATTGCAAATTGTGAGGAGGACAATATAGGAAATAAAAAAGAAACTGACAAATTTGTGGAGTAGGTTGATTACATGGTAGATGAAGTTCAATGTGGAGAATCGTGAGGTGAGACACTTTGTAAGAAAGAACATGGAGAGACACAAAATAAAGGGTACTATTCTAAAGAGTGTGCAGAAGCAGAGAAACATGGGTGTATATGTGTGTTCATTAGTGGTGACAAGACAGGTAGATAGAACTGTTAATAAAACATATCGTATTCTTGGCTTCATGAATAGGGGCATAGAATATAAGAGCAGGGAGAAAATAGAGTTATACAGTCACATACGGAAACCTTCAGTCCAACTTGTCTGTGCTGACCAGATATCCTAAATTATCTGGTCCCATTTGCCAGCATTTGGCCCACATCCCTCTAAACCCTTCCTATTCATATACCCATCCAGATGCCTTTTAAACGTTGTAATTGTACCATGCTCCACCACTTCCTCTGGCAACTCATTCATCATGCGCCATCCTCTGTGTGAAAAAATTGCCCCTTAGGTCCCTTTTAAACCTTTCCCCTCTCACCATAAACCTATGTTCTCTAGTTTTGGACTCCCCATTTTGGGGAAAAGACCTGTCTATTTACCCTATCCATGCCCCTCATGATTTTATAAACCTCTATAAGGTTGCTCCTCAGCATCCGACGCACCAGAGCAGATAGCTACAGTCTATTCAGCCTCTCCCTATAGCTCAATACTTCCATGCTAACTCAGTATAAGACACTGGTTAGACCTCATCTGGAATATCCATACAGTTCTGAGCATCACAGTTCAAGAAGTATGTGAATGCATTGGAGAGAATGCAGGAGAAGTTTATGAGATTGGTTCCAGAGATGAGAAACTTCAGATATCAGGATTGTTTAGAGACGTTAAGACTGTTTTACTTGGAAAAGAGAACACTAAGAGGAGA